AACTGTGTCTGCTATGGGATGGTTTCAGACAGGAGTGTAGTGAAAGGACTGCACAAACATGCCAAAATGAATGAATACAGATGTCCACTGATGGTTGCTACTGCTCATTATTTTTACTCTCCTGGGGTTTCTAGATGAGACCTTACTTTTGAGCCCAAGTGTTTCATACCTTTCTTGTGAAATTCCAATGCATTACACTCATCTACAACTAATTCTGTAACTGTCATTAAAAAAAACATTTCTCACAAACTCCTAATTGAGCTGTACAACCCTTGCAAAGGCACTGTAGTTGCAGGGTTATTTGGGCAAAATCAGAACATGCTGAAAAGTTACCTTAAGGGAAAACAGCCTATGTATCTTTATCTCTTCTACAGAATATAGTGCTGTTCAAGCCTTGGGGAAATTCAGCACTGTACAAACAGTCAGAGCAAACCCAACGATCTGCCTAAATCCTATTTCTGCCCTCCAGGCTAAAGCAGAACAAAGCATTCTAGGGGCCTCGTGGGACACATGGAGTGCTCATGTGTAGCCCTGTCCTTTTCCCTACTGCTATGTTTTACCTCTTGCTGCCTAGCAGACTATTTCAGGCTTAAACCTCTCTCCCACTCTCCACATTGCCTTCTAGGGCTCATGTCAGTCATTCTTGGTTTGAAAAACCGTCTTTTCAGTAGACCAAGATTCATCTTCTGGGAAGTGGCGATTCTTGCAACGACTCTGTATTATGAAACTTCTTTCAAATTGAAAAGCTCTTTGTGTTTGATCAAGTAGATTAAGAAATCGGTCCAAAAGGTGGAAATTCATTTTGCTTTCAATTTTCTGGCACACAAAGCATTTTAGAAGCAGAAAAAGTTGCTGGAAGAGTTCATGCAAAGCCATCCTGCTTCCCATCAGCCACAAAGTGTTACTTCAGCTGGAAGATTGCTCTACAATTAGAATTCCACCAAAATTCAAACTTCAAGTGAAATCACAATGAGTCACCCCCCAGTCACTTACACATAGAGATCCATAGGAAATTCTTTCATCATGTGTGTTACAATGAATTCCACCATCAAATCTGACAGAAAAAAAATGATAAAGTAAGTATTGAGCTAGCTCTGGTTAACTTCTAGTAGACAACAATGAGGAAGTCAAACTATCCCACCTACCTAGCTCTACCAGACAACAGTCCTGCTTAGATGAGAGAAATTTCACCTTCTTTCTCGTTTGTTTTAAAAAGCATTAGACATCCTTTGGAATTAAAAAAACCCCACCACACCCTACCAGAAACTGAAGGCATGTAAACGTAATACGCTTTGAGGCACTGCTTCTCCATATGCTTTCCCCCACTATTAGTCAAATAAAGAATACACCACAAATCCTGATGCTTAGAATTGCTCTCATATTTCAAGCCTTGTCACTAATGGAAAATTCCATTGAAAAGCACATTTTAGAAAATCATTCTTACCAGAAATGATGCACAACTTAAATGTTTACTTAAGAGATGACATTGTAGAGAACACCTATTTTTTCCTAAAATAAGTTCTGAAGCAAGTAAACCTAGTTTGGTCCCAACATAGGCTAAGCTTCTGCTTACGACTCATTCAGGGGAAAAAAAGAAAAAAAAAAAAGAAAAAAAAAGGAGAACGTCTCTAACATTTAAGGGCTCCCAGTGTGAGGATAAGAGGCAAAGAGCATGGAAATACAACTGGAAGAGTTAAGTTACTGTAATTCAGCTAATAAATGCTAACTGGATGTGCATGTGTTTCCCACCCAACACAACTCCAGCATAAAATCCTTAACCCATGCCAGTGGTAACAATTGAGATGTAACCTCCTGGGGCACTAATAGCCCAGCAATATGACTCAATAGTGACTAGAAACAGTCTAGGGATAGAGTGCATGATATCTGATAAATATAGAAAGATTCTTCACTCAGCTGTTGTGCCTTGGCTTTGACAATCACCTGTTTGAAAATGCTAGAGTCTGAGACTGCTTCCATATCATCAGGCTTAAGAGTCATTCAGAGGTTCAATGCTCCATCCATTTCTGCATCCATTTCTGCTTTTTGGCCTCCACGGCAATGAGTGTCATAATTTAATCATGTGCCGCACAAAGTTTTCAACTGTGCCTCCATATCCACAGGCAAAACCAACCCTGGCTAATGATATTCTTATTGTATTTTTGTTCAGAAAAGGCTAAACGCCCAGCAAACACATTCAAAAACATGTATCCTTTCTACAGGTTTACCCTCATCATATCATCTACGAAGTACTTGTGACTAACTGTTACCACACTCATCTAAAACACTGAATTTATTAATCAGCTGCCCTCCCTATTGTTACTAATTCAGGTAACAAGGCACCAACAGACTTCTGCAAAACTTACTGTAAATGTATATAGGATTTCTTGCTACAGAGCAGTAATCTTGGATTTAATTTCTCTGAGAGGCAGCCATGTATAGAGATGAACAGCCCATTGCTGAAAACATCTTCAGTAACTGCCCTCCTTTTAAGTCTGTACCCGCCTCCCCTTATTCCACAAACCTCATATTTCTATTGCAGAACAAAAGATGCTTCGGGGAACCACAAGCACACACGTACTCTAACAATACTCACCAAGCACTGCACACACCAGCGGGCGACAGGGCAGGTTCTTGTCTGCTGCTTTCTTCCTATGTCTCATTGGCTTCAAACACACAAAGATGAAAAGAAGTCAGCAGAAGCCTGAAGTGACATTCTGCGTATTACTGTATTTTTCATGCAAATAATACCATCAGCACAGGCTTCCCTTTGTCTTTTTCTCCAACTATCTTGCCTATATTAATCCTAAAGGCCATGGCTGGAGCAAAATTGTGCCTGCTTTTCAGCATGCTGACCATTGGGTTTTTGTTTCTCTAGCTGTGTAACTGGAGGGCACTGTTATATCATGGGGGGGATGAGGAGGAAAGGAACAACAACAAAAAATAAAATAAAATAAAAAATGAAAATCACACAGCAATTCCTTCCCCTTGATTAACATGCTAATTTTCTCCTGATCCAGAAGTCTGATCTGTATTCTTAGCAGCGTGTGCAGTATTAAATGGCTTTGGTCTTTATTGCAACAGACCAGAAAGGCTAATTGAGTGGCAAGTTTGTTGTTAAGTGGGAATGACTGGCATCCTTGCAGTATGCTCACTACAAAGTAAGATGTTTGTTTCTCTCCTGGACTAGTGACACTTTCAAGCGCTGCTTCACTGTCAGATGAGGTGGAACTTGCCAGTACCACAAAGACAAAATGCATGAAGTTAGGACAATCATTCGATCTACTTTTAACTACAGAGCTTCACAAGACAGGTAAGGACATTGCCTCTACAGATGTCTACAGGAAAAAGCCCCGGAAAAAGTACTTCCCTACTCGAAAGTGAATCAACCCACCCAGGATGAAGCATAAGCCAAATTAGAGCACTCGATGTAACTCCAGCTGGCTATTAATATATCACATGAGGGCTAATGCTTGCTGAAGATTAAGGCAGAACGTTCTCTCTGCCACTGATTTCCTCAGAGACCTCATAATATACAGCTCCTCCCCAGCTACAAAGGCCTCTGAATGAGACATTCTGAGAGCGATTTCAAAATCATTCCTCAACTACTGCATTTCTCACAGTATTTCCTCATGCCTCAGCAATCTAGGTTAGATGTCTGTGACACAGTTTTCAACATACAGGGACTCAAATCCTCTGTGTTCTCATCCTAAAGAGAAAATAGACCATCTGGAGGAAGAGACTCACCATCCTGTGTAGGTTTACTCGAAAATTCATGTTGTCATCATGAAGAAAAGCATTAGCATACTGATCCTATTGAAAAGAGTAAGAAAAGGGAGGAGATAGGAATAGTCAACCAAGTGCCCAGCACCTTCAACTTGCCTCTCAAATCACATGCGTTTCAGTGTAAAGCTCCTGACATATAGCTATAAGGTTGGAAAGCCACCTGTCATCTCCTCTTGTCCCCAACAATATCTCCAGTCACACAAAAGTAAACCTCTCCTGATCTCAATTCCACTTTAGTTAAAGTCTGCACTACAGCTTATTTTGTCGGCAATTTATTTTCCATTCTCCTCCTTTGCTCATCCAAACTCTGGACTGCACACAACACAGTGGCAAGAGTTTAACAAGTGCTATGTAACATGAGGTGGCCCTCCAGTACACAAGCTCCTGTGACTCAATGGATGAAGGTTTACACTGGCATTTTGATTGACCTGTCACGCCAGATGTTACTGCAGTACTAGCAAGAAGGTTTATCAGCTATCCCACCGCTCTGGCAAAGCTCATTCCAAGATCAGCTCTAAATTCAAGTGATTTGTCCAGATAACGCACAGCCAAGTTGGGTAATAAATATATCCTCCCTTTAATATCAGAACCAAAACATGCCCTTGCTATGTAGAAACAGAATTTCTTATCTTGTATTATCTATGCATCCACCTGAAGAACTCAAGTGCCAAAAACATTTAATTATAAATATCTGAAATGCAGATTATTAGCTTTCAGGCTGCACCCTGAAGAAACATTACTTTAGAATCTTTACACTGGCTATCAGCATTGCTGCTTTTTATTCTTTGCTAAGAACAAAAAGTCTTTCTTTACTTGCAAGCAAGGAAAATGCAAATGCCATACAAACTCAAACAACACCATTCAGGACATCAGTCTAGCCATTAGTACACGCTTCCCATGAGACAGGGCCACGTTCAGCCAGGACTGCTGACACAGTTCTGTGATAGTGCTTTCTCACCGTACGACCAGATTTGCTACTTGTCTTGCTTGTAGGGACCTGCGACCATGCAGCTTGATTTCAGACTCGTATCCTTCTTAGGCAGAAGGGATATGGCGTTGCCCATGCTTTCCATGAACAGCACAGAGCTGAAAGCCATTAGTACATTACTCATCTAAAAGCCACACCACAAGGTCACTCAACAGCTAAGAGAGAAAAGGCTTAGGCTTACTCTTTTCTCTCTTCATCCCTGGGAGGTGACTAACCCAAATAGGATGATTCAATTTTCAAGTTTCAAGTCAATTTTAACAGTACTGCATCAGGTTTATTAGCGAAACATTAAGTGCCTGAGGTCCTCACTACCCAGTACCACTGCACATCTTCAGCTCCTACTCAACAGGCGGCAGGGGATGTGCGTGCAGATAGGGCCCTGTAACACACCATCTGTTGAACAGTTTCACACAAGAAACCTACCTCTGCTATGCATGTCAGGATAATCAGACACAGCTTGCCACTGTGTAGCCGGTGCTCATCTGCAGAGAAGAAAAAAAACGTCCTCCATAAACCACACAAGCGTAGCAATGCTGAAGAGTGAGATAGCTGCTGCAGCAAGAGAAAAACCCAGCCTTGGAGATTCTTCCTACTGCTACTCCATGATAGCTAATAGTCTGTCTATCTACTTTCATTAAGCACTCGCCCTCCAGCCTGACCACTAAATCCCACCAATTTGTCACCAGTCTGCACCAACAGCAAAGTTTCTGATTTGAACCTCCAACAGCACTGTAACCATCATCAGTGGGGCTTCTGTCTCATTCAGTTTTACTTCCACAGATATTCTAAATACTAGGGTTAGGCCCTGTCTTTCTGTCACAGCGGAGACACGCTTGCCCTCTTTTAGACAAGATGGAAAGAAAAAGATCACCTTTGCTGTAAGTTATGAAACAGCAAAACTATGGTAGAGGTATAGCGCAGTGTAGCAGAATGACTCCTGACATGCTCAAAGTCCTGAGTTTTAACCCCAATACTGAGAGACATGACCTACTTTGCTCTGTGCAAAACCGTGAAAGAAAGAAGTCTGCAAAGACTTTGCATCTCGAGCCAAAAGAGTTCCACCCTGATCATGTTCTGCAAATTGTTATTCGTCTTACAACTTCCAGCAGCTTTTGCCCTGAATGACAATTGGAGGGCTGAAAGACTCACAAATAAAGAGGGACTAAGGCAGAAGAATGCAGTTTTCATTTGGATTATTTAAAACTCTTCTCTCTCAATTTTAACCTTGAAATACCAAGAAACCAAGATACATACAGTCATAGAGTAACTTAGGATGAAAGAAATCCTTGCTCAAAGCAGGGCCAGTTCAGATTAGGTTGTTCAAGACACAGTCCAATCAAGCTCGTTTAAAAATCCTTGTCCTGAAGAACAAATCACTCACACCACACACTCCCAAAAGCACAAAACCAACCAAACAAAAACCAATCAGAACAACATACATACAACTCAAATCTGAGGAAGCTTAAAACTGCACATTCCTGAGACCTCCAACAGCTTCTCTAAAGCATGAGACTACTAAATATGCCATCCCAGACATTTGCCTTAGAGTCAAACTTGGAGGAGAGGGAAATGTGAAAGCCCACTTTCACCAGTCAAACTCCTTGCATCTTTGCAGGTCACTTTACAAACACTTTGCTAGTTAGCGTGTATATGGTAATCTATAAAAATAGATAGAATGGGCTTAGCTAGCTGTTCCGTCTGCTTTCATGCTTCTTTTGTTTTCTTTTCTACGCTGCTGAGGGACAGATAGTTACTAACAAGATGTGCTCTGAAGTGTGCCGATTTCATCTTGCTGCACTAAGATGAAGAGGAACTTTGAAATAGGAGAGTTAAAAGTCTCTCCTACATCTCTTTACCTTAGCTAAAACATTTAAGTGAAAAGTTTTCTACTCCAGCAAAGCAGGAGAAACAGCTTCAAAGAACTCTGATACACTGGAGCCTTGTTATTTTCCTATTGTAAGGTGCCTCTGTGTATTTTTGTAGGTGCTGCTACCACTTCTCTCTCTGGGGATTGTGCTGTAAAGACTCCTGTTTCACACCAATGCTCTGCCTTCAGCCAACATGTTGTGAACATCACGCCGTTTTCAGCAGTTATGAGGCAGCTACGCAGGCAGTTACTCACACAGACAATTCGTACTTTCGCAGTATCCTTCATTAAAGGAACAACACAGACTACTTCATATGGGGACATATATCAGTAGGAACCCTATTTTACACATGGGAAAATTGATGCAGAGTCTTTGTTTCTCCCAAGGCAGCTGCCTCTGACTGACACAAGAGAGAAAACAAGAGGAGGATCTAGCAAACACAGTCTATTAAATTATGCTCTCTGGGACAGGACCAAAACAACTGTCTAGCCCTGGACATGGAACAAAGCAGTCTCCCCTCTAAGTGTTCCCACCTGTTTCAAGACACATGGAGTAAATTAGAGTTATTCACTCTTTTTCTCTTGTTCCTATATTGGCATCACATGCTTGGTCTCACACAAGAAGAAAAAAAAAGTTAGGCCCATCAATCACCAAAGTACAAGAACAGGAATATACTCACTAGATTAATAAGCACTGGTTTGGAAGGCACACTTTTTTTAAATGATCAGTCAGTGGAGCTCATTGCCACATACTACCACAGCAGCAAGGAGATTAAGTCTATCAGTCACACAAATTTCAAATGTTATACAAGCTAGAATCAAAGAAAGAAATACCAACTCCTGTCTCATATCAGAATAAACACATCTCACTGGCTTGTTTAGTAAGGAATCCCCTCTATCAGATTTTACTCCATCTGAAACTAATCCTGTTTGGCAGTTCCTGAGGCCCTATGCAGACTTTCCACATCACAGTGACTAGTTAAGTGCAGAAGTTAAATTGAAAAACATAAAATTGTTCCATCAGAGACTTGGATGAGCAAGAGGGACCCTGAGAAAAGCAAATGAGAATGATTAGAGAGCTGGTAAGCCCTCCTCCTCCTCCTCATGCATGCAATCTATAAGAAATGACTGCGCAAAGATTGACGTGGTTTTGCTTAAAGACAAAAGCAAGAGGAAACATGAAAGCAGACTTCAAATACATAAGGGCTAACACAAAGCAGAAAGAAATAATCCACTCTCAATATCTATCTTGGAGAAGATAACTAGTAATTAATTTAAATCATAGCAAAGAATTTAGGAAGCCTATGAAGCTTTCTCACAATAAGGGCAGTTAAACACTGGAACAGAGTCTAAAAATGATGCTCCACTATCAGGATGTCTTAATCCAAACTGTCAGCAACATTTCTGAGAAAAAATACAGGTAAACCTGATTCTGCCTTGGTTTTGATGTGTGTGCTAGACATTGTCACGAAGTTCCTTTTGGTCCTAATTTCAGTTATTCACTTTTTCTCAACTAGGTTGCATACTGAACAAGACCAAGACAGCCAGCTACAATTTCACTGAAAACTAGCAGGTACAAGGAAACTCTCCTGCCTGCTCTCTTATTCAGTGTCAAGCATTCATGAAGCTCAGCAATCGATGTATCATAGCTCTGCAGCTATCTTCCTATTTTTGTTCAGTTGTTACATCTAACTTAACAGCAAAAGTCAGTAATAGGCTGAAATATGGTACAAAGATCACTTGTAATGTTCACGCTATGGTCCTGCCCTTACAACTGCTGGGCAAAACAGCACCCTTGGGTACCTTGAGTAGGAGATGAAGCAATACTTCAACTCCAGCAAGCTGAAATTAACCCCCACAAAACTATCAGGAGAAACAAAAAGCACAATATGGAAATATATCTTCTCAAGCAAATTACTGCCAGTACAGTGTAAGTTACTGCTGTCCTCATAAGTAACGAGCTGCCTCTTTAACCAGCAAGTACCAAAGGACAAAGGAAATATTTCCTCCTAATGCTGAACTTTGCCTCCTGTGTCAGCTTTTAAGTGTTCTTAAAAATACAGTTCTCTGGTACATGACTTTCCCTCTCCAACAGACAGGGAATCAGATATGTTCACACCTCCTGCATAGGAACAGGCTTGGTTATTAGGTACTATTATTATTACTACATTCTTTCCATATTTGACTTCTCTCCTGCCAGCATTAGGTCTCTCCTAGTCTCATAACTCTTATCTCACAATAAGAAATCATTTCATTTTCTCAGAAGGCGGAATCTTCAGTCGTCTAAAGGGACTCCAGTTAACTTCTATTTCTGGAGTCACTAGACATGCTCTTATGCCCTCCTGACTTCAAGAAGCACTGCTTGCTGCAACTACAGCTGCATCAACAGGATTTATTTACCTTTTGTGTCCTGCATCACAATCGAGCTGTACTTCAAGAAGGTTATCAGCAGGTTGCTAGTTTGCACATCAGCATCCAAAGGCAGCTCTGCAGAGCTTATAACTGGAACAAAGCAGATAAGACACGTTTACACTCCACAAATACAAGAGATAACTATACAGAGAACCATGTGACAGACTCATAGATCTGGGAGAGGATCGGCTTATTTGCAGGGTCACCTGACCTCCTCCTCCTTTATGACCACCCAGCAAAGCTTTTGTTTTGAAGACTGGTACCACTCCCTCAGAGACCACTTCTCCTGCTCTAAGTATAGGTTGTGATGTCTGACAAAGCCATACCCTTCTCTGTCCTGCCCTCCCTCCTCCATCCCCTGCCAAGAGAGATCAGCCTGCTGTTTTAGCACTCATCAACATTCCCAACCTCGAGAGCTCAAGATACTCTCACCGATATCCAATTAATTCTTACAACCAACACAGCTAACATTCACACCATTCTCAGTTTGGAAAGAAACATGCGTAGCAAAGACCCTTCTCAGTTTCAGCAGTTTTGGAATTTCAGTTCCAAAAGGTCCACCTCAATTCCATTCTTCCCTCCCAACAACAGCCTCTCTTGCAGAAGCAATGGACAAGACAGTAACGTAACAATCATTGCATGACTAAAATGCTAGAAAAGAGACGTAGAAAGAGCAGCTTTATAAAATTCAAGAAGCAAAAGCAATCATAGCTTGTGCTAGAGAAATCACAACACAGCAGGGAGCAGAAATGTACTTTCCATACCTGCAGCAGAACAGCAGTTCATTGGCAGCTCTCTAGGACACAATCCTTGTTACCACCAGCTGTACTTTCGACACCTTAACACTGGACATCATTTGCCTTAGACTTTACGAGAAGCTATCTCAATTACTCAGCTAATTGCACAACATGCCTTCTACTCACTCCCCATGTACCACCTGAAGCACTGAGTTTATGAGCTGTCAAATTTCTATCATGTGACTGAGCCACATTTTTACCAATGACTGAGCCTGAGCTGTCCGAAAGGGCTGTTCTCAGCCTTCCCATTCAGAAAGACTTTATGAGAAATATTGAAGGGGGGGGGCGGAAAGATAAGTGGGAAAAACAGAACATGTGTTTACCTGCAGATCCTGCCATATAAGTCTGATATCATTTAAGATAAATTAGCTCAGGAAAAAAAAAACACAACAACAAACAAACAAAAAAAAAACTCCACAAAAAACAACCCACAAAACTGATGGAGCTGTCTGGAAGACTTCAGTAAAGCATTTAATACAATACTGTAGAAAAAAATTAAGAGAAGCAGATAGGTGGGAACCAACAAAGAAATTTAAAGGTCAAAGATCTGGCAAAGGAGAAGCAATTGGAGAAATTATTAGTCTGGGAAGAAGTTACTGCTTGAATTCCTTATTCCTTGAATAGTTTAGGGAATAGTCTTTTTTGAGAGTGACTTGGGCACAAGAAACAGTTGTTTGCTAATGAATTTGCTAATGGCAGAAAGTTGAGATATATGTAAACAGAGAGGAATACCAGACTGCGCACAAAGAATGGGATAAAACCAAGGACCAGATAATAAATACAAGATGAAATTCAACAATGCAAGCCATAAGGTCAGGAATTCAGGGATTTATTTCCATAGCAAGCTGAGAGCTCATCAGCTGCAAACAAAATGCTGTGATACCATGGCATACTATCAGATCACGAGATGACAAGCTACCAACATAAAGCACTGAAGAGTGGTCCTACAACATATCCAGACATGCACTTCCAGCAGAGATAGGAACACAGTAGCGCCCTGCACAAGGTACTGGTGAGACCTTGTCTCGAACACTGTGCGTAATTATGCTGATCCCATGTTCAGAGGATGAACTCATACTTGAAAAAGTTTAGAGAAAGACTAGTAGGTTGATCAGAGGAACAGAGTGCCCTTCTTATGAAACAGCAAAATACACAGGCGAGTAACCCAACATACGAAAAAGCCATCTGTGTTCCAAAGTAAGGTTAACATCATCATAAATAGGTAAGAACTGACAAGAAACACAGGTTAGAAAGCTGAAGATTTCTAACCACGGAACAAGATGCTGAAATTGCCTCCCAACAGGAATTACTGGGAAACAAATTTAACAAATTAAGACAAAGTTTGATAAATTTAAGGAATTCTATGATGATGTGCCTCCAAGCACAGGGCACTAGATTGAAGGAGTCAAGGGGATCTGTTCCAGCTGTACGTGTCTGTCCTGACATGACAGCACTACTGTTCTGGCTGCCTCTAAACTCAAACTCGCAGGTTTTTGTATGCAGGAGGTCATAGGTGGCTTGAATTCCGATTGCCAGAAGACACTCTCTCTTCTCAAGCTATAAAGATAGCCTAAGATAGGGCCCCCTTTGTACTGGAAACAGATCTGCAGACCACTAGGACACAAATCTTAAGAACTATATTATCTCTTTTCTATCTATCTTCAGGAATGCTCGAGGCCTTTCTCACTCTTGAGGAAAGAAGTATTTATGATGAGAGTGGACTTTGCAAGAAGTGAGGAATTACTCACATCTGATTTTTGCATGGCTAGGTTTGGAGCTCTGAGAGGAAGTGATTTGATCCCGTTGGTTCAGAGAAAAGTCTGCTTTAACAAACAACACCTTTCATAATTCAAGCCTTATCTCATAACCCTGTAATGAGGCAAGTAAGGCTTATTTACCCCTGGAACCAGGGCAAGCACAGGCATAGAAGGAGAAAGGAGACAAACTAACAGTAAAATGCAGGATTCTTTAAACTGAGCAGTGAGAGGCCCGCAGCACAGCAGAGGGTCTCATGGAGCTCAGGATTATACAATCACCTTGAATACAAAATTGTAGCCCTTGGAAACAACAGGCCAAATGGATCAATGTAACCTTGCTGTTCAAGTCACATCAAAGAAATGATAACGTGGCTTTTAGCTTCCAAAAGCTGCACATCCCCAAGCATGAACTGTTTTAGTCCATTCAATCTTGAAGCTCTAGGGCTCCTGACACATTGCTAACATGCCCAGTCTGTTGGCAAAGTCTATGCAATGAGACTAGAAGCTTTTTCACCTCCAATGTTATGAATAGCTCAAAGATTTAGCTAAAAGTCTGAAAAATGTATTTATATCCCCAGTGGGTCCTTCTGGAGCTGTTACAATGAACACAGTGCATGAATATTTAACAACAGTAAGCAAACTGACATTTAGATAACTATGGTGACAGGCATACTTGATTTACATATTATGGATCAACAGTTTCTAGCAAAAGTCTCAGTTTAAAAAAAAAAAAAAAAAAGAAATCACTCTGAAGAACATATCACTGCTTATCCTGGTTCATGCTACAGATCTTGATTTTTTTAGCACACATTTTGAAACTTTAAAACGTCTTAATTCACAGTACAGGCTAACAGCCAGAGAAATTCCAAACCAGAATATGAACCCATTTTTAATCCCAGTCAGCATAAAACAAAGCGCCTGAAACCCATAGACGGATTTCTACATGTTGCTGTAACTTGAAAATAGCTCAACTACACTTTTTTTTTTCCAAGTGTAGGAAAAAAAAAAGAAAGAAATCTTTTAATTCCAAAGAAAAAAAGCCTCTTGCTAACTGTCAGCCATAAGCAAATTTTACAGCTGAGCTGCAAGACCTTAGAAAACGAGGAAAGTTCTGACATACTTTTAAAATAACACCAATACTAAAGCATCACCAAACTAAACCAAGTCAAGGTCCTCAAAAAAAACAAAATTAACACTGCAAGTAGGGATCAGCAAGGTGACAGCAAATGGAAATAAAGAACACTTCCCGATGTAATTGCTGAACATTAAGATCAGCTCCTCTCCTTAAACTTAGTAACCTTACAAGCAGCAAGAAGCCTCAAGCTTCACAAGATCACTGCCTCTGCTGAAAGCAGGATGAAGTTTTTGTTTCGCTTTTGTTTTTCAGTAAATTAAAAAAAGAGAGTGCCAGCAAGCTCTAGATGTAGGTAAGCATAAATCCTGTCAGTTGCATAATATGGTGTGTGGGTGGATACATTTGCAACGAACACTTTGAACAGAAGCCCACAAAATGCCCATCCTTCTACATTTTATGTTACATGCACAGGGAGACTTAAGACATAGGGGGCTTTTTAACTGAAGCGTTTGATATCCATGGTAACGAGATAGAATTCATCCACAAGGAGGATCATCCTTAACTAGGATATCAAATGACCTGAATAGCTGATATAACCCAGACTGCTTTTCCCCAGAAATATTTCCAAACTGTGCCCTATTCAAAACTGACTTTGTTCCTTCATTAAACACTTTCTTCAGATCTAGAGGATGCCATTAAAGTATGTGACAACAGCCCTTTGATTTCTTCTCTTAAACTAGGCTATATCTATCCATATCTTAAACAAAAAGGTTTTATTTTAGATTATTTCAAAGCATATTTACATGGACACGTAAAATGTCATTTAGAAGAAAGATCTCGGGGCAAGTAGCCATTTACAAAGTCTATCAGAGAAAAGGCAACAAGAGGGAGTAATACCTCCACGCCCAGGTTGGATTCAAATCCCAATTAATTCAAAACTGGAGACAAGTGCATTAATGACAAGCAAGAATCCACTGCAATTCTCTGTAAATCTGTTCCAATGACAAATAGTCCCAGGTAAAGAACTTGACAATAGAAATATTCCTAAGTAAAAGCCTACATAGAATAACTAGTGGGCTGAGTATATTTCCATGCAGATACTGAGACAGCACTGTTTTCAGGAAGAATACCAGGATAATTTCATTGAGCAGTATACAAGGCAAAACAGAAACAAATTTGAGTCAAAGAATTTTGCTGATGTTAAGCAAGGCAAGTCATTCCAGGAAGAGACTACCAGGTTACATCTGCTCCAGACAGACCTCATTAGTTGCCATCTTGAGAATATGCTTTGCTAGTTATTTTAGAGTTTTTAATTGTTTTTCCCCAGGAGATTAGTACATTTCTTACCATCTGAAGAAGGTGGGGTGGTTCCAAGTGGAGTGACAGGTGTCATTGGAATTGGGCTTGTTGGTGTTGTCATCAGCCCCATTTCGGGATGGCTCTATCAGAAAACACAGACATCCAGACATAAACAGGTCAATAGTTTCCCTAGGCACTAGTCATACAGATCACTACTTGAACCTGTCCCACGCTCTTGCACTGTCGGAGTGCAGATCCTTGAAGAGACTGCACGAAGAAAACCCTGTGTGAATAAGGACTGGAGCTCTAAAGTTAGGCCTCAGGGGCAGAATGCCCTTGAAGTTAAGGATAAGAAAACTATGCAGCATGATAAGGGAGTAGTGTTTGCTTAGAGCAGAGCTTCGCTAGGCGGGTGTCTGTTTGAAATAAGCTGTTAAATATGACAAGCATATGTATCATCCAATAATGGTGTAGAAAAGGTGTGGTCTCAGGATTATTGGCAAATACTGTCTATATAAGCAATAAGAACTGCGCAATAAACGAGACTTCCTGCAGCTAACTCATATTGAGTCGTCTCAGTACTTCTCCAAATCCCTTCTCCGCATTATGGCGCCCGAACAGGGACGGGAAAAAATGAGCTGGACTCATCGTTTCACTCGGGACATTTATTACTTGTTTTGAACGAGTGTTATTTTAGCGGAGAAGGGACGGCGACCTCAGAACGAGACTTCCTGCAGCTAACTCATATTGAGTCGTCTCAGTACTTCTCCAAATCCCTTCTCCGCATTACACAATAGACATGACTAATGAAGTCTCAAGAAACTTCAACCCCTCCTCCAAAAAGCAAGGCTATGCTTCCTGACCTTGGACATCTAACTATTAAACTGTAATCAAGAAATCAATTTCTTTACTCCACAAAACATAAAAATACATCAGAAAGCAGTGGCTGTCCCCAACAGACAGGTAACATGCTCCTCTCCAGTGCAGAATGGGGAAAGGAATGCAGGAGCCTACACCATTTATAGCTTCCGATTCCCTCCCAAAACAACCCAAAGGTGTATATCTGAAGTCTTCCTCCAAGATCCTTTTATTACTCTTTCTAAAAGCGAATTCTCCTCACTCCTGCCCTCCACCTGCTCATTTTCAAAGATGACAGCAATTTATTACTTCCCTGTCTCACTATAAAGCCCAGGCACTGCAGGAAAGAGTGTATAACAAATAACACTATCATTATCGATCCTCTCAGCTTCCATCCGTTGGTCACTCTCCCCATTTCATCATTTCATCTTTGCTAATAGTTGCCTGCCTAATTACTGCTTTGACTTTACTCTTTGTAAGCTTCCAGATCCATCCACACTGGTGAGACTGTAGGCAATCTGCTGTGCTATTTTAAGTCTGGCTGCCAAGCAAAGTGTCCATTTCATAGGGCAAGTTTTACATAAATGTATCATCTGCCTTAATATATCATCACAATTTCAAAATAAAAGAAGGATACTGCTGATTTGACGTTCATTCCATAGGATTTTTGACAAGTGAATATCGTCCACATTGTCTTTAAATATCTCGTTTTATGAACAACTATAAATGCATGTATTTTATTGGAAGCACAGAGATGTACACTACAATTCAAAGACAATTTTAAATCATTACAGGAACTGATTTAAACTTTAAAATACAATTTCCCATTGAAAATCTTACATAAAACAGGTTTGCCTCCACAGATTTTGCTATGGTGTTTACCTTTCTTTTCCCCAAACACTAACCCTAAGTTGAGAGATAAACAGTGCCACCTAGCAGCAAAGACTGAGGACCAAAAAAAGCTGTTAAGTATACCAAAACCTTAACACTTCAGGCATCAACACAACTATATCCCTGCTCTTCCTATGTGCCCACACAGCAACAGGTAGTCATTCTCGAGGTCTACAGCAATGGACACCAACTTAGACAAGAGCATTCACCAGCTTTTATGAGTTTTTTTCAAAGGACAGCATGACCTACCTTGCCCTCTTAAATGAAGGGTTACAGACAACCCACTCAAGAACATCAGACCTCCACTTCAATTACATCCATTGATCAGTGGCCGCTTCAGCTATCACTGTCACAACCAACTAGTTTATCCTTTTATTTTTAATGTAAGAGCTTTCACTCTTAGCTGCTCTTTTCCTGGCCTACTCTTTTCCCTGTCAAAGGCCTCTCTTCCTCCAGGGATACCTTGACCACGGAAAGGCCTGAGTTGGTACTACACGGAACTGAAAGAGCAGAAATCTCACAAGTAGTAGGAATGAATAACCTAGGAAAAGAGAGGCAGGGAACCTCAGCAAACCACCTGTGGAACAGAAGCTTTCTCCAGAGGCAGCAGATCTGCCTATCAGACCTCTTCCATTACCACTCCTGTCAGGAGTCCCCAAAGGTCTCCTCTGCCATGCCAAGTGTCTAGCCTGTGACATATGGCTGCACTCTGAGGACCTGGAATGGCTGGGGAAAGGTGTTAACTGTTTTGTTGATGTCATTTTTCTTACAGATTGCCAGCAGTACTTACAAACCAAAACTGAAAGTCTAAACCTGAAGGTTTTCCTAAACACATTAGGCTATCCTTCCAGCCAGCCACAGCACAATCATTGGATCAGACACACTTGTTATCTGTCTCCCAACAACCAACCACTTTTGCAAACTCATGCAGCGTTTAAAAAGCATCTAGTGGTTTGTGATCAGAGGTATGGCGCAGCCCGCTGCTTCTCAGAAGGCTGCCATAGCTGTTTCTTCACCATAAACAGCACAAGGAGGAACACTATACTCCAGTGACAGTCTCCCAAGCAAAAGCAGTTGGGCTCTCCAAGGAAGTCTGAACACAAAATAGTATTTGAAACAACAGTCATCACATGCCGATTTAGTCTCTAAGCAAAGGATACTACGCAGTCTGTGCACACCCAGACAGGACAATTCACCCAATTTCGGAGGCGGATCAGCCTCTCTCCCTCAACCCTAACTTAACAAGAGGAGCAGTTCGTCTGATAGTTGCAACCTTATCCCTGCCAGTTCACTCACTTCATCCTCCCCCTAAAGGCAGTATCAATAGGGCACAGAAGGCACTTCACACAGCCCTTCCCATTCCATGGGAAAAACGGCTCATTCCAATATGAGCTGTGCCCTCAAAACTTCACTCATTTTCTGGCAAGACAGGAAGCATTTCCTGAAAGAACAATAAACCCAAGCCCTGGCCTGCTTCTGATCTTCATGCTCATCTACACCTATGACAAGTTGCAGGAGGAAAAAAAGCTTATCTTTTCGCCAACTCCATTTCTGACTCTCTAACTTCAAAGACATCCACTACAAAGAAACAGGCAAACATCGCACTGAAACTCACTTGTGCCAGAACTGTGATGAAATTCCGGTTTAAGTGAACAGCTTCATAGAGGGCCAGAAGGATTGCTTCATTAGTTCTGTGGAAAGGATAAAGACAAAAATCACAGTTAGCTCACGGCTAACACCAGATGAGAATCCCAAGAGTAAAGCTTTTTCAGAAGCACGGCCCATCTGAAAGAATAAAATTTTTTTTCAACTACAAAAAAATTCTGCCTCTGCAATCTAGTTGTTCTTCCAATGACTAGTAGTACTCAGAAATCCATAAAAATAGCTACTTTTAGAGCACAACCAGAGTCTTTGTTCCCTTCCTGAACTGCTGAAGGTCTCCCTTATTGCTCAGTGTTTTCCCTTTAAAGTCCTTTCTTTTAAGGGCAGAGGTTCCTACAAACATCACAAACCCTTGTATTTATCACTTGCTCCCTTGATTTAGAAGACATTTTGTTGGGGACAAGAGTGCGCGAACCATCATTTCCCATCTGCCACCTCCAACATGCCTATTATATGTTAAAAATGTCTCATGAAAACCACAGAGGGTTTTTTTTTGTACACTTCATTAAAAGCAATTCAGCTGTGGCTCCTCCTGCTGCACCCTTCTCACTTAAGCGAGAATCCATTGTTTGCAGGGGTGTGGTACCATTTTAGTTACACAAGAACTGGTCTCTCATTTGCTTTGCTACATTAGAACAGCTCCACGATGGAGCAGATCACATTGACTGGTGTGGTGAGTTGTCATTCACTGTGTAACTAACATCTGTGCACTTACTGGACTGAGATCTTCTCATCAGCATCTGCTATGAACATGCTGCCCACCTATGGAAAAAAAAGAGTATTGCATAGGAGGAATTTGTGAAAGCTAATAGACAATAAAAGAGAAGACACAGATTTAACTAAATCAGAAGTGCTCTGGGAGAGGTGCTCTCATCCAAGGCATACATGCAACTTACTTTTAATACTAGTAAAATATAAATGGGAAATCAGATGACCATCTACAAACACATTTCCTTTTGCACTACTGTCACTGACCAATGCTTCACGTGTCAAACCAGAAAAGAGGTAAAAAAAACAGGATTGTGTCTTGAATCCCAACCTGGATTACTCTGCGATTCTGTAAGAGGACAACAGAGATCATTTCCTATCTGCTTTACTCAAAGAGGTAGCAGTTTTACCCATGTCACTCCTGACAGACAGCTGTCAACACTGAACTATCCTTACAGGAAATTTTCCTGTCAGTTAGGTATCAGACTACAATTAATTCTCAGACTAAAGCAAAGCCAAACTGAACAAGGGGAACAGTGGATACTCTTTACAAAGAAGAAATTCACAACTGCCTTTGGAGGGTACCCCTCCGAAAATGCAGACACAGCTCACTGCAGTTTCCAAGCTTACTTCATAGCTACAGTGCACCCAGGCTTGAGAAACAAGACAGTAAAGAAGCAGTCTCTAAAACTAGTGACAGACTAGACTTTGCCACAAAAATACTCAGCTTCTCTGTTTTAGGCTACATCAGCAGATTAGCATGTTTTTAAAAATAAGTAGCTGCTTAAAAGTGTCCAATAAGTAACTGTGATTTTTAAAATAAAGTCAACTAGAATGAAGAAGATGAAGGAAAACAATTTCTATTATCAATGTCAAAATAGAGATCTCATCCTTTGAAAGAGCCTTCCCAGCCAGACAACAACACACTTCTCAGAATTTCAGTTGCATTTGGTTTGGATGGGATCAATGCACCTCCTCCTCCAGAACCCATATCCCAAACTGATAGAAACATCTTCC